CCCCATTCTGGCTCCGGGGAATCCTCTCACCACCAGCCCTGTACCTCTGCCCTTGTACCCTGTAACCTACCCCAGTTCTTCTACATAAAAAACAACAAAAAACTGATAAAACACTGCCTCACATTTTCTAGGAGTAATATTTACAATAGCAAAGTTATGGAAACAAGTTAAGTGCCCACTGATGGATGAATGGATAAAGAAAGTGTGTCAACAAACACATTATACAAATGGACTATTACTCAGCCATTAAAAAAGAACAAAACCTTGCCACCTGCAGTAACATGGAGTATTGTGCTTAGTGAAGTAAGGAGGAAGAAAAATAGCATATGGTCTCTTGTGTGAGATCTTAAAAGAACCAAACAAGTCAAGAAAAAAACCCCAGGGCCTCCCCTGGTGGCACAGCAGTTGAGTGCTGGGCTGCCCGCAGCCTCTGCAGCGCTGGTTCGATCCCCGGCTGCTGGTGAGGATCCCACAGTGTGACAGACCTCTCCTGTCTTGCCCGCTGCTCCCCTCAGCAGTGTATTTTGTCAGTCTGCCTGTTCTGTTCCCTGCTCTGGCTCTGGTGAATTCTCTCACCCTCCCGTGCTTCTAACTATACCCAATGCTTGTATAAATAAATAAATAAATCTAAAAAAAAAAAAAAAGAAAAAGAAAAAAAACCCAGCTCAGATACATAGAACATATTGTTTCCAGAGGCCAGGGGGCTTGTGGAGTCATATGGGGAAAGACTGACAGGTACAAGATTCCAGTTACAAGAAACTAGGTCCAGGGATGTTATGTATAGCATGGTAAATTTAAGTAATAATACTGCACTGAACATGTGAAAATTGCTCTGAAAATAATCTTCTAAGTTCTCATCACACAAAAAAATTTCTAAGTGTGAGGTGATGTATTAACTACACTTGCCATATCATTTAGCAATAATACAAATATTGAATCAGTATGTGTTACACCTGAAATTAAAGTTATATGCAATTATACCTCCATCAAAACAAAAACCAGCATTGGAAGCACATTAAAGCTAATATAAACTTTGAAAGTATTGAGCATTAAAGTTCTAAAGAGGGAATTATCTTCTCCCTTCACAGACACTAAGACAAAGGGCAGGCTTGACAAAATCTTTTCAGTGTCTGTGATCTGAAAGGACGAGCTCTTACACTGAGCTCTTACACTGAAGTCGCTATTAAGTATGTCCAAGGACCTCTACTCAACATAACAAGCTGTTTCCAACCAGGGTGTAAGATATTTGAAACCTCCAACATTCTCATCACAATGAGTAACCTAACTCCACAGCTCAAGAAATTGTTCAACAGAAGCCTCAGATCCCTTTCTTTGCAAACATGAGCCTGTGAAATGATCTAGCTTTGATCCAATTTGGCTTTCTCCTCCCTTCCCAGTTCAGTGAACATCACACAATAATGGCTGGGGCAGCACAAAGCTGAATCTGGGCCTCCAGGGGCCGCTTCTCGGGCTCCCAGCAGAGCCAGCGGCAGATCCTGATGCCCCTCAGCTATGTATATATAGGATATCCAGTTGTTTCATGAAACTTCCTGAAGGCAGATTGCTACACTCACAGGAATATGTAACATGTACTTTCAACATCATCAAAATTTTAACACTTAATGAACTGATTCAGGGTAAAGTAAGCGTTCCGTCAGGGCAGAATCTGCTCCTTGTTTTGGGCCTTTAGAAAAGATGAGGGCACCCCTCTAAGACCCATTGCAGGGACAGGGTCCAATGGGACATCAACAGCTTTAGGATGAAAAAGCAGGTTTTAAGTTAAGGTATGTGAACTCCTTGCACCTCCACTTACTCACCTGTGAATTTTCTTTGAACTTTGAAAGGTTGTTCAAACAATATTTAAAATGGCCTGGCCCATAGTAGGAATTTGTAACCCCCCCTGCCACAGTGTTTGATGCTTAACACCCTTCACTTGAAAGCTGGCAGGACCTGAGAAGGCCTGGTCCTGAGACCGCTGGCTAGATGCAGTCAGCCCTGCCCTGGCAGACACACCCACTGACCCCTCCACGGGAATAGACCTCCAGCCAGAAGTCCGGCCTTTCCCTCCCACGCCACAGGAAATTAATGCTGCAACCATCTGAGTTAAGTTTGGAATGGATGACTCTCAAATCACGTCAAAAGAATGCTGTGTAGGTGACACCCTGCTATGGCTTTAGACCTGGAGCCACTGACCCAGCAAAGCTGTGCCTGGACAGAGACAGAAACAACTTTCCTTGGAGTCACCCAATCTGTGATTTATCACAAATCTGCTAACTTCACAGATTCGGTGGTTTTTAACCACCTAGACGACCCACAAGCAGATTTAAAACACAACCTGTGAAACATTTGGTTAACAGGGTATACCTTTCCCACATAATAATCTTTTAAAACACTCTGATAGTGGAGGTCTCCCTGGTGGCGCAGGGGTTTAAGACGCAACCTATGAAGCTGTCCACTGCAGCACGAGTTCAATCCCTGGCTGGCCAGAGAGCAACCCCCATGGTACAGCAGACCTTTCCTGTCTAGCCCGCTGCTCCCCTCAGCAGTATACTTTGGTCACTACAGTGTACTTTGCCTGTTCTGTTCCCCACTGTCTCTGGTGAACCCTCTCACCCCCCACACCTCTGGCCTGTACCCCAGTTCTTATATGCATAAATCTTTAAAAAATAAAACTGATATTGATTGTAATTCTTTGCATTCTCCTAACTCTGTGAAGTAAATATTCTGTGACTTATTTCACAGAAGTCCAGAGGCTCATGAAGGCCACGTGACTCCAACAGCAAGGAAAGGGCAGAGCCAGGACTAAAGCACAAGGTCGGATTCGAACACCAAACCACCTTCCCCGTGACCTACTTCTCTAAGTCTCAGTGTTACCCCCACCAAGTCCAAAGACAATCACAAGAAAACCACATTATACACATTAGACACTGGAGACGTTCTTCCATTGTTAAAACCATCTTATCCACTAGGTTAATTATTGTGCATGTCAATTATAATGTCTTTTAAAGTCTGTATTTCTCAGTAAAGACAATGTTCTTTATCTCATTAAATCAAATATCTGTGAAGGCCAAAACACCAGTTGTTCTTACCTAAGAATACCTTTTAAACAAATCCACAAAACAGCTTTTTATTTTCTAATAAGACTAAATTTATTCAATACCCTAGTAAAAGTTTTGATTATAAGTATCCAACAGTATAAAAAGTACAAAACAGATTTATAGATTTCTAATATATTAATACAAAGTGCATGACTACATACAGTACATCCTACAGGCAAAGAGAGGTGGAAGGGGGAAAGACGACTGTGGTTGAGGTCTAGTAATAAATAAATAAATACAGAAGTAGAGATGATCCATATTATAGTATATTCTACCACCAATACTGCGCCAAGATGTACAAAAAAAAAAAAAAACCATTTAAAATAACTGAGGAAGATGATAATGGCTGGGACCCTTGTGCACCCCCCAGGCTGGGAGAGCTGACACGCCCACCCACTGTGTAGGCCGTACATATGGCGGCTTGTAGTTTTTCCATAAGGAATATAAAAATTTAAGTTTAGATTAAGAACTATAAAACTATAGATGCCCATAAAAAGTGGCTCACTCCTTATGTTATTTATACTATCCAATGTTTAAAATCCAGTTTAAAAAATAAGCACTGAGTCAGATTACTATACGGTAGGCAAATGATGCTCATATCATGAAAAGTCTCAACTGTTGATATATTTTTCCTGAACTTTTAGAAAAGAGGCAATGAGAGTACTTTGGTTTGGGTTCAAGTAAGAAGCTTTCAGTGAAGACTTTGGAACTGAAGAGCTCCACGTTCAAGTTTTATGTATCATCTAACATCTCAATGTTCAGAAAGCCTTACTAAAAGAAACCAAACCAAAACCAACCCACACTCAGCATTAACACACACCTCTTTCCTTTTAGTAAAATTCTACTTTGAGTGAAAACAAAAACAAAAACAAAACCCCAAACCCCTAATAGCTTAAAACAACAAACACCCACTCTACACAGATAAAACCTTCACAAAGGTCAACTGAAGTAATCCAGAGATAAAACTGAATTGTGCAGGTTTCAATGAAGTTGCTAGTCCTGTGACACAAAGTCAATTATGTGCGCTCTCAGCAAGGCCTTGGAGAACGTGCCTTGAGGAGCAGTAACCTTTGTGCATACCACCCTGAAAACTTGCATGTTATTTTTCAGATAATTGGACTTTTAATAGAGCGTGTTCTTTACCACGGGGTTTACATGTTGGCGCTGCTCACTCGGGACTGCTTAGTATACAGACTTGACATTTCTCCAGGAGGAGCTTGAGTCTGCTTAGAAGTTTAATATAAGATCTTTATCAGATATTGGAGGGAGGTGACACAGGACACAAAGTATACAGTCCAAGTTATCTCTCTGTATACTCAGAAATGACTCCTGCAAGGTCTTTGTACCAGAGAGCTTAGTCTGTCCTGCTTAATATTCAGTAGTACAGGTTTGAATCATCAGAACCTTGGCCAAGACCTTAGTATTTCCACGTTATTAACTATTACCTCTAGGACAAGTCCACGGTACTGAATTATGACAAATTTATTATCACAAAGGAAAACAAGTGTAGCCAGCCATCTTAAAAAATGCCCCAACCACTGCTTCAATATAGAAAGACTAAAACTACATACATTTATCATACAACAAATCCCACCTCTGACCCCTGAAATTCCCCTAGTTTCATTCATTAGAAGGGGATTTAAAAAAAAAAAAAGACTTAAAGAGCACTTTACAGCAGCATTCAGCTTTCCTATGAAATACTCAGCCTCTTAAATATTATGTACATCTCTCTCTTTCTTTTAGTAAGCTAGAAACTGGCTTAAAGAGTTTGTGAACCTGGAGGAAAAATAACCCATTCAAAACTATTCTAGAAATTGTCTTTTGGCAGAATAGCAGGTATCCAAGTTAAAAACAGGAGGGTCATTTTGTTGCTTTGTTTTCTTTCCAAAATGTAAATCATGCTTGTTCCCCTTCTACAAAACCTCAGTCACCACTCCTGTGTGGGGCTGGGCAGAGGCTCCGGCCCCTGCACCTCCGGTTTCTCTGCAGCTGCTTTCTTGTTGCTGCAGCAAGGCTTGAAGAGATGCGTGTCGATGAGCACTTCCCCGAAACGACCTTTGTAGATAATCCCACAACAAATTTTCTGTCTAAAAGAAAAAAAAAAGGAGAACAAAGTACAATAGTAAGGCAGAGTAGGAATATCAAAAGAAAAATTTAAAAATTACTCATTTTAATGAGTACAACGTGATCAAATCACATCCAGATGACAGGGAATAACCTGGTCCCAAAAATCCCACACTAGAGTCCTGTCCAGCATAAAGGGGGGTAAAGACTGAGACAGCAGTTTCCAAAGTGGCTCTGAAAGGCTGTAAACTATTTCCTACCAAAACACCAACTTTGAAGAAAAACAGTCACCATAAACAGGTAGACAATGCTGACTTTAAGTAAATGCAGAATATATCAAAAAATACACAATTATCAAATATACATAAAAGATTTAGCCCCTTATATGCCCCTCTCCAAACCCACCTTTTCTCCTTCTTGCCTTAATTTTAGGTTTATCATTCCCCCTTCCTCTTTACACTTCATGGTTTTATCACATTTGAATCTGCTTTGCTTATAAATATGAACACACGGGTCTCCTTGGTAGTGCAGGGGTAAAAGACAACGCTATTAAGCTATTGCCAGCATGAGTTCGATCCCTGGTCAGCCAGGGAGCTGACCCAGATGGCGCAGCAGACTTCCCCTGCTTCTCCCGCTGCTCCCTTCAGCAATGTGTTTCAGTAGATAGGCCTGTTCTGCTCCCCACTCTCTCTGGTGAATCCTCTCACTCCCTGCACCTCTGGCTTAAAGCCCAGTTCTTATATGCATAAATAAATAAATCTTTTTAAAAATATATAAATAAATATGAATACACACCCACAAAGTTTACCTTTGAACAACTAGAGTGGGGTTGGGGCATCAAACCCTACCCATTCAAAGTTGAAAATCCCACTATAACTTTAGTCAGCCCCAAAACTTAATAGCTGCTGTTGACTGGAACTCTTATAAATAATTGTCAATTAACACATATTTTACATGTTTTATGTGTAATATACTGTATTCTCACAACAAACTGAGTGTTAAAGAAAATCATAAAAGAGATCACATTAACAGTGCTGTACTCTTTTCGTCAATACCAGTTTACCTGTCTGTTTATAAGAAAATCTGTATCTAAGTGGACCCATTCAGCTCAAGCTCGAATTGGTCAAAAGCTAATCTATAAACCTGTTATAGACATATAGATATAAAATCACATACATACATACATGCATACATACATACATACATACATATATAAAAACACATATGCAATCACACTGCTATGGTTTTTTTCAGCTTATTAAGGAGGCTCACACATATTGTTAGACCATTTATTTTAACCCACATGGAGTAATCCACCATGTGAACATGGTAGTCTATTTATGATGAGGCAGTTTCTGCTACTACAAATACATTGCACACACCGGGAGATGTCCTCTTAGGTTATGTTGCTGGGCTGCAGGAGTGGGAGCATCTTCAACTCTGACTTATCAGCATGGTTTTTTTTTTTAACCAACAGTGTTCTTATCACCTCAGACACTCCAAAATTTGGCAATATTTCATTTTTGCCAATCTAGTGGCTGTAGAAATGGCATTTCATATAGAGATCTTAATTTCTATCTCCCTGATTATCTAAAAGGTTGAAGACATCTTCATGGGCTTTTTATTTTTTTTTTAATTTTTTATTATTTTTTTTAAATAATAAATTTTATTTTTATATTCCCCATACAATTGCAACCCTCCCATTCTGACCCCAATCCCTCCCCTCGGGCTTTTTATTTTTTAAAAAAGATTTTATTTATTGTTGTGTAGAAGAACTGGGGTGCAGGCCAGAGGTGTGGAGGGTGAGAGGATTCACCAGAGACAGACTGGGGAGCAGAACAGGCAGATCTACTGAAATACACTGCCAAGGAGTCTACTGTGCCACAGGTGGATTACCTCCCTGGCAGGGGCTCGAACTCAGGCCATTGTGGTGATAACACTGATAGTGCTGAGACTTAATCCCTAAGCCACCAGGGAGGCCCCTTCATGGGTTATTTAATGGACTGTTCCTTCCACATGATATCTACTTTCTCAAACCTTGTGCTCATTTTCACATTGGTGTTTCTGTTTTCCCTTTGTAGGAGTTTGTATATTCTTGATACACCCTTAGTTGCATGTATGCATTAGATTATTTCTTTATAGTGTCGTGTGAGGAATAAAAGTTCATCACTGTAATGCATCAAACTTGGTGTTTGCTTTTGCATTTAATGCTATCACTCAGCTGTGCTGGTCTTCCCCACACCTCCCAGCTTCTACACTATTTATTTCTACCTGCATCTCTAGGATGTCCTTGCTTGAATTTTTCCTTGTATTGGGTTTCATTGAGTTTTCGGCTAGATTACCATTTTACTCTTTTGTAAAGAAGCATTAAAGACAGTAATAACTTATCCTCTACCCACTTCTTTAACTTCACATATTTATAGTGTTTTTTTATAGTATATTTAAAATTTATATTATACTTGCTTGCTGAACTCACAGCTTAATTTAAAAACATTTATATTATCACTTTGTTTTACTATGTATATTTAAAATTTTTTCTTTTCTAGAGGCTTTACAATCTTTATTATTAATCATTTAGAAGTTACATAGTTAATGCAATTCTGAAGTTTTTCAATGTATTTACTGTCAACATTGCAAAGGCTATAAGGACACAAACTCTGAATATAATACTATTACCTTTATACTTTTTTTTAAAGATTTATTTATGCATACAAGAACTGAGGTATAGGGCAGAAGTGCGGGGGGTGAGAAGATTCACCAGAGACCAAGCACAGGTGGATCCAACAGAACAGGTGGATCTACTGAGATACACTGCTGAGGGGAGCAGGGGGCGAAACAGGAGAGGTCTGCTATGCCATGTGGGTAGCTTCTTGGCCAGCCAGGGATTGAACTCGTACTGCAGAGGCTGCGGATAGCTTCACAGTGCTGTGCTTAAACCCCTTGCGCCACCAGGGAGGCCCTATTACCTTTACACTTAATGTTACTGTTATCATGTAATTTTTTTTTAAAATCCCACAACTATTTTCATTTTAAATAATGTTTGTTTTATGTTTATGCTATGTATTTTTTTTAAAGATTTTTTTTAAATTTATGCATACAAGAATGGGGGGGGGGGGAAATAGGCCAGAGGTGCAGGGCAGGGGAAGGATTCACCAAACACAAAGTGAGAACAGGTGGATCTACTGAAATCCACTGCTGAGGGGAGCAGCAGGTGAGAAAGGAGAAGTCTGCTGCTCCATGTGTTTGAGCTCCCAGGCTGGAGATCGAACTCATGCCACAGCGGCTGTCCACAACTTCATAGCGCTATTACTTTAACCTGTGAGCCACCAGGGAGGCCCATGCTATATATTATGTTTATTATTTTTATGCTTGTTATGACATTATTTAGCAATGTTTGTTTAAATTTACCAAAATATTTGCTTCTTTGTTCATCCTCAGAATTTGAATCTGGGATCTTTTTCCTACCCATAGAATTTTTGTAATTAAGGTTAGTTGGAAACAAAATCTGTTTCTTCCCTAGTCAAAATGTCTATGCCCTTCTTCACAATTTCTGCTACGTATGTATAATTCTAGCTGGAGTTATTATTTCTTGGCCATTGAAGTATAATCTATTGCTTTTTGGCTTTCTTTGTTCATGCTAAGAGCTCAAAGTTCTTTGTGGCCTTGTTTTCTTGAAAATAACACCTACTATCTCACTGCTTAGAGATGTATTTCGTCTTTCAAGTTTTATGGATCCTGTGTCTATTGGTGAATGTTTTTTACCTCTAAGATGACTGCTTATGTCAGTCTTCCCAAATCTGCACCAGAAAATCCTTAATCATTTTCTCTTTCCCAGGGTTTTTTAACTATTCATTTAGCATTTGGTCTGATTCCTTACTTATTTGTACACTAATCTGTGACATTTTTAAAAATGTAGAAATTGTATTCCTAGGAGACCCCTGCTTATTTTTTTTTGTGTGGGAAAGTTGGTCCGAATGAATACGTAGTCTAGGAAAATTATAGGAAATTTAGGGCCTCTGATGTGATTTTTACTGTATATCAATTTTAAAAGGACAAACACACAAAATTCCAACTCGCAGCTCAATTCTTGCCTAATCCACCTCCAACCATGTGTGCTACCAGCTGTTTGCCAAATGCCACTTTATGTAGGAAACTGTTGCCTGTGATTAAGAGGCTTGCTGGTGAGCGACATTGTCTGTTGCTTGTACCTTTTCCAGTATGTGAGGTCTAGGAAGGAAAATACGGGCGTTCGGTTAGAGCCAGAAGCCATCTCTGTGTCGGAGCCATCATCTGACTGGTTACTGTAACAGGGAGACTGGGCAGGGGAGGCACTTGAGGTGGTGCTGTGAGCATCAGAATCTGGAAGAGGAGATAGGTACAATCCCATTTATATGCAGTCGCAGCTCAGCCCCAGCATACAACAGTGCACAAATTAGCAAAAAGAATAAAGGAATTTATTTTCTACTCACTGCTGATATTTGAAGATTTTGTACTAAAATGTTTCTAAAAGAAAATGAGGACTTAAACTTTCAGGAAGATAAAAGCAGACTAACTTTTCCCTATTCCTAACTAAATAGAACTAAAAACTGTGCATATTACGTAACAATAAACCTAAAGACTGAAAAGTGACAATAGCTAGGGAAGAGCTCAAGAGGTAAGAAAGGATACAGAGGTGAGGGGTTCCTAGTATTTATGGTTTTTCTTTTGTCACATAAATCTGTCTTGGAGCTGAAGCCAGCAACCCAAATACACCAAATATGAAGAAAGGCAAAAAAAAGCCTGCTCTCTCTAGCAAAGGCCCAGGAAAGAGGCCGCCTAACAAGACAGAAAACTTTTATTGAATAATAACCATTCTATTCTACTCAAACACCACAAAAAAAGTCCCAACCCCACCCACCCCAGCAGGGCCAAGAGTGTTTGCAGGGGAGGGTTGGGGTGGGGTGTTAGGGCATCTAGATTGCTACCCTCAGAGAGGATGAAGTGGCCCCCCACAAGGACCGGCACCCCCACCCCACCCAACTCAGATGTCAGAGAAGGCGAGGAGCTGACTGGGGAAGCTTCCTTCTAACATTGTGTGGGAGCAACAAGGTGGTGGTCCTCCTACCTCCCCCTGCTGAAGGGATCAAAAATAACTACTTAAAAGCAGGTTTAAATGAGATCCAGCATCTCATAACAATAATTTTAGAAGTAAAAATATCACAGCCAGAACCAGGAACACCTCAAACTGAATGAAAAGGTCAGCAGATATCAACACCAAGATGATGGGGATATTTGGATTGTCTGACAATAATTTTGTTTCAATACTTGAAACAAAACAATCTCTGCGAGTAGGAAGTCTTAAAAGAAAAAAAAGGTGGGGGGGGGAGCAGAACCAAATTTGAAATTCACACCGAATTTTGTTTCAATAAACCAAACAAAAAGTTCAGTGGATGGACTCCCGAGCATAATGGAGGGGATGGAGGTTACAATCAGTGAACTGGAAGAATAGAAATTACCCAAGCGAACAACACAGAAAAACAAACAGAGCATTAGAGAACTCTAACAAAAAAAAAATCTACATACATGCCACTGCAATCCTGGAAGTAGAAAAGGAAGGGAGTGGAGGTGAAAAAGCACTCAGAGAAATAAAACGGCTGAGAATTTGCTAAATTTGGTAGGAGACCGAAACCAAGGAACTGAGCAAACCCCTGGGGATATACCCGAAGAAATCACTGCCAAGACACATCCTAGTTAACGTCCGGAAACTAAAGACAAAGAAAAAAATCTTGAAAGCAACTGAAGAAAAATGACACCTTACCTGTAGAGGGAAACAACTGATCAGAATTTTAAAAAGAATAAAGGCAATTCATCAAATATATAAGCTCAACATGATTTAGTGATTTTGCCCTCAGAAGACTTCATATAAACTTACAAGTCAGGAAAATGAACTCTTTGGTTGCTCTCCCTGCACTATGAGGCCTGTAGCACAGCACTATCACAAACAGGGTCGCACCTACCACACCCTACCTTAGCTAACCACCCACCCCCATCATGGACAGAGCAATCCAAGTCAGTCGGCCAATCCAATATCATTAAGTGCTTATGGAACATCAAACCAGGTATCATCCTGCATAGGAACAAACAGACTGGGGGAAAAATCCCACAAAAATGGGTCTTAAAAGAGCTCATAGTATTTTGTATTATCAAAAAGTCACATAAAACATCAAAAGATTAGTTGTCTGAAACAAAGAGAACACCATTAATGTTTAATATGTCGATTTACTTCCAATATGTGATTAGCATAATTTCATAAAAAACAAAATCCTCAAGAATAGCAGGCTTTAAAGGAGCAAGTCTATGACATGTTTAAGACCTCCCAAATGAACAGAGCAGCTGTCAGTGAATGAACCACCTTAAAAAAGTACTTGCTATCTTTGGACTCATTCAAAACTAGAGTTATTTTTGAACATTTTCGACCTGTGAAAGTGGCAATTTTGTGTGTCTTACTCCAATATCTGCACTACTGCAGTATACAACTGATTATTTATAAATGTCACGATTTTGCGTGTCTTACTCCAATATCTGCAATACTATTGCGGTACACAACTGATTACCTACAAATGTCACGAGGAAAAAAAAAAAAAACCTCTAAAATGTAGGCCTGGAAACACTTCAAATAAGTGTGATTGTTTAAAACCTTCAACATTAGCCAGGATTTGGAAAGCCATTAACGGCGTGGTCAGATGGCATGGAGCAGGCAGGACAGAGTAGCATGCCAAGCCTCAGTAGCCAAACATAGACACAAGCATGGGTTGCTCAGCCCCACATCCTCTGTCGAAGGTGGCTTCCAAGACTTGCTAGGGATATTGAACTATATTCCATAACAACTGGAAATCAATTCAGGTTTTAGGAAGAAGGATGAGCTAAAGAGAAGAGCTAACGCTGACAGAGGTGGGAAGGAGCATAGGTCAGGATTAGCGGGATACAGGCAAGGAGTGGTCTCACGAGACAGGGCCCTGAGCCAGCATTCGCAGCACTCCTGGGAGCAGCTCAGCCTCCAACCTCTCCACATGAAGCTTTATCGTAAAAATCTAAAGTGGTACTGGACATACTCCATTAGGTAAGGCAAAAGGCAGTCAGCTATCATTGTCCTTATAATTAAAGGGAGGAGCTAAGAAGGCAAGTTTGAATAATCAATCCCTCTAACCTTCAAGAGGCAGGAGAAAATTACTAGTTCCCAAATGTTCATTAACACTTTCAGTGAAAACGGAGGTTAGAGTTACAGCTGTTTTCTGGTTGTTTTTTTTCACCCCCTGGTGATAATTGCTTAAGAAAGTAACACATCAAAATACATACCCATTTCAATTTCACTTTACCTAAATACTTTGCTGCAGATGTATTCAAATGTTTTGGCCAAATATCTAATTAACACAGTGCCAGAATAATTGTAGGGAGCACCTGCTTACTCAAAAGCAGTGAAGACACATGGTCTGGGAAAATTTAGGGTCCCAGGGACAATGGTTATACTGTTCCAGAGACCAACGTGGTGCTGCAGAAAGACCGTGGCAGCTTTGAAATTTGACAAACCTACAGACAAATTCATCTCTAGCACTCACTAACTAACCTAGGGTGAGGTAAGCCCTCGCTCCGTCTCCTAGTGTAATCTCAAATCAGAAAGCACTGAGATAATTAATTGCTCAGGTAAAATGCTTGGTAAAGACACCAAAATGCTCTAGAGATGATTGTTCTTCCTTCCTCACAGTACATTCACCTTTCTCCATGATTCTAAAACAAGCGGACAACTGTCTGTCTAGACTGATAGTATTTTGTCTAATAAGGTCCTATAAAATTTATTTTAATCCTGAAAACCCCCCATACAGGTTAACAGCCCTTACCCACAATTCTGAAAAAGATCTAAAATTATTAAAAGTTTATAAGCGACTGATTTGGTCATAAAATCTGGCCTTGACCTGAATACTGAGCCAAACCCAACCAGACTATTTACTTATAAGTTTACTTATTACACTTACATGGATACTACATTTTTGCTGCAGAAATACTAATGTGGGGCCTCCCCGGTGGCGCAGCGGTTGAGCGCTGGGTTGCGAAGCTGCCTAGGCCTCTGCAGCGCCGGTTCGATCCCCGGCTGCTCCCCGGCCACCGGAGGAGGGTCCCACATGGCGCACAGACCTCTCCTGCCGCCCGCTGCTCCCTCAGCAGTGTACTTCGGTCCCTCTGCCTGCTCTGCTCCCCGCTCTGGCTCTGGTGAATTCTCTCACCCTCCCGCGCTTCTGACTGTACCCAGTGCTTGTATAAATAAATAAATAAATAAATCTTTAAAAAAAAAAAAAAAAAAAAGAAATACTAATGTGTCTGACTCAACAGTGCTGATTCCCATCACCCCACAGTAACACAAATATTATATAATGACACTATGTGCACTGTATATCCTTTTCAAAATCTGAATTCCCAAATACAGATATATCACTACAGGTACCTCTACTCATCCCCAAGGAAGACTTCCTGTAAGACTACATGAGCTTGATACTCCTTTGTCATTCCTTCCCGATTTCATCATTCCATACAACAATGCCCCTTAAATCAAGATGTCCAGAGATCAGAATGGTCTCAGCACAATCAGAAGTGGCCAGTTAATGAAATAAAGATGAATTCTCCAAGTCAACACTGCCTTCAACACTCTCATTTTTAAAATAAATAAAAAACACATACCATATATTACCCCAGACAAAAATGAAAACAGAACAATATTCTCAAGTGAAATCTCGTATTTCAGTATCCAACTTACTGTGACGTTTAAATTCCTTCTGCAGTTTACTGATCTGGGTGCTTTTCATCCTGTTTCCAGACAGAGTTTTGACTTTCTTTGGTTTCAGTGTAGTCTTCAGACTGGGCCCTGCCCTTGCATCTACCACCTGGAAGAAAATGCTGAATATTTAATACCATTAAAAAATGACGCGTGCATGTTCCTTTGATTCAGACAAATGCCTGTTTGAAAGAGACAAATCTGACAAGTTTTCTAGTCACAGTGTTTGACAGCCATGCTCACTTTTAATCACCACATGGCCATTAAAGAGCCATTTACCTAGCGTTTTTTTTTTTTCCCTTTGAAGTAAACAAGAGAAGGAGTCTGTTGGACAAAAAATTTTAGTAGATTTACATACGGTGAGAATGATGCAAGTGAAGGAAAATAAAGTCTGACCTTTCTACGGGGTAATATTCTGCATTTCACAGAAAATTTTTATATACTTTTAATTCTGCCACCATTCCAAAGCAGCAAGGGGACTATGTTTGCTACTCCAATTTTAAGGTGAAGTAAATTAAATTATGTCTTTCGCCATATTTTGCTAAGATAGTAAATAGGCGAAGGTGGGTGGGAAGGGGACAAGACTGAAGTCAAGGGTTCCAGACCCATGCTCTATGCTCTTTTCCAGCACCTTCCATCCCCAAGTGAGGCAAGTGCTGGCAACGGCATGCATGCCACAGTATACTCCCCCCACGCCCGCTCCATTTCTCATGCACTCACATTTACTATTTGCAGATTTCTGCCCTTATGTAAAAAGGTTGCCATCACTTGCAGAAAATACAATTTGGGTCTTTTCCAGCTATTAAAGTAAAAAAACTCAACTTTGTAAGCTAACAAACCCACAAAAACCTACCACAATAATGTAAATCGTCACCAAAGGACAGAGTAAGGCTAGCATAGGAAAAAAGGTAAAGGAAATAATGCATGCCTACATAAAAACAAGTATTTTGTATAATTTTGTAACTTCTCAAAGTTAGCATGCGGGAAAAAATAAGACTAAAAAGTGCTGCTCTGGTCACTAAAATATTTTATGAACAATTTGAGGACATGAGGAAACAGAGGCACAGAGAACACATTACACAGCAATCTGATCTCAACTAGATGTAAGTACAGAGAATAAACCAGCATGAATGTGTCCTAAGAGATGAAACGGGATCCACGTCTAACTAGCAAGAGGATTTGCTGAACTGAACCTACAAATTGTGAAATGTACATGGTGAATCTCCAAAATGGGCCTAGAGGAAAGAGCCTCAGGGAAATGCTAGCCACACTGTTTTGCTCCCAAGCACGACAAAGAATTAAGTGACTTATCTTGGCAACAACTACTGCCTCTCTTTATTCTTTTCAGACTTTTCCACCCTAGGGATAGACTATTTCCTCTATTAAGAGGGAAAACTGAAGTTACCATAATTACAATAGAAGTATAATTGAGAAAGACAAAAGATAAACTAACATGATTCCAGTTTTTTTTGGATCCTGCCGGTAATTTCTTCCATCTTTTCACAAGCAAAACACAGGCATTGCAGATGTCTCCTGAGCGAGTCTCATGCAACCTGTAAGAGAACAACAGAGCCTTTGTGAGTCCTCTGTCCAGGAAAAGAATTCCTGTAAGTACATTTCTTTTAGAAAATATGACCACCACTTCTAGTTTGTAGATGCTATTTCTAACTATCCTAGAGGATCATCCACTGTTTCTGTGGTATAGTTCAGAAATTAACTTCAGGTCTACATCTAATGAAGCAGTTCTACGTACTCCAATTTGGTCACTTTGAAATACAGGTTGTTTTAAAATTAAACAGTAAAATGTAATGCCCAGGGGACACCCCGGTTACCGTGGTTTAATAAACAATGCCATTCAATAAGTCTTTCCTGTAATGTACAGACACTTCGCAGGCAACCAAATCACACTTTAAGTAAAACAAAATACCATGATATTCTAGTTTCACAACAAACAAAACCAAAGCAGCATCAGAATTTTTAAAAAGTGAGTGTGTGTACAAAAAACTATGAACCAGAGACACTTTTTGGGGGGTGGGGGGCGGGAGGGGAGGGATTGGGGTCAGAATGGGGGGGTTGCAATTGTATGGGGAATATAAAAATAAAATTTATTATTAAAAAAAAAGTGAGTGTGGGGGGGTGTTGAGGGAGGAATCTCTAGATCTAGTTAAAGCTGTTTTTTAATTATATCTGAGGAACTTTCATTTACCACACTTTTCCTATACTATAAACACACGCAGAAAAATACTAGTATTTGCGATGTGTACAACTGAAAATGAAGACATTGAGAAAAATGCAATTTAAAAAGTCAAGACTGGTATATTCTTTCACAACCTTCAAAATATACGCTGATTAAATAAAGTGGTTGGATGGAGACTATTATAAGAAAAAATGAAGCTGATCTTTAAAAGATCCCTTTATATATTCTGAAATCAACAACAAAGGGTTTGGTTACAACTACAAGGGGCTTCAACCATTAATCTGGTCATAGGTACTCATGATCTGGGAAAGGACAGGCTGTCAGCACTTCTTGATCCCGCCATAAGCAGGCCCCTTCAAACAGTCTAGACTGAAATACAAGGGATTGGAATTACTAGCACTTTGCTCCAGGCACCTCTCTGGGAAATAGTTCCATATGCTGTGATCTTTCTCATTCTAAGAATGGCACAAACATCAGATGACCTTACCCAAAACAGCTCTGGAAGTCCTTTTCATAACGTTTACTGTCAGTGAATCGAGAACTAGAGGACTTAGCTCTGCAAATACAGCAGCCCTCTATACTTCGGTACATCTTTGGCTTGTGAAAACCAAACATCTTTTCTTCTGGGCAATAGTCTGTAAAGCCAAGGGAATTAACACAGTTTTGTTGAGGGTTATAAACAAGAAACCATTAAGAGAGTTCTGTTTCCCCCTTCCCAACAACTTGGTATTACTGACCAATCCAGACAGGGGCTCTGGAGAAGAGTCCCTGCACCTGCCTACATTCTTGCCACCAGCAAGGCAAGCACATAAAACTCACCAAACAGCTCAGTTATTTAACCAGGCCTCTCACCTCCGTCCACCCTCTTGGCAAACATTTACTCTAAAAATGGGGCAAAGGAGGCATTTTTAAGGCATAAAATGTAACGCCACTCCTAAAAATCCTGTAAAACAGCAAAATCAGGCACAAAGGATGCACCCTAAAATTTAAAGCAAGGCACTCCCTTGTTTTGCACTTTGCATGAATGTGATTCCCCCTTTGGGGAAGTCTGAGCATTTACATGACCACTATTAACACTGCACACTGAAGCAGCTCAGTCTCCTATCAGCCCACACTCCTTTGCCCTATGGGAAATTAGCGGGGATTTCTCCTGTGACAAATGGGACATTCTAAGCAGGCAAGTTGGCCCTGAATTGAAACTACTGAGAGGAGGATACAAAACTCACACAAACCCAGGGTTAGCACTGAAGGATAATAATTTCATAAATCATTGAAACACACTAAGAATGTGCTCATGCTAACTGACCAGTGGTCTGGCCCTCAGTTGTTACAGGTGACGATCTGTGACTGAGAGCACTAATAGTAGAGGCACAAGTCCAAGAAATGTGGAGGAAAAAACTGTTCCCCCAATCAAAAACAAAAAAAACAAAAAACAAAAACAACAACAAAAATTACCCCTCAACATCAAGGAAGGAAGGGAGAAGCAGCTCTGAGGCTGGATGCAGCAAATGTGTAGCTGATAGTGAACGTGCACCTTGTAAGTCATCCAGAACATGCAAACCAAAGGCCAGCCCCACCAGAACATCTGTACTAAGAGGTGATAAAAAGGCAATGGGCATATAACAAAACCCCAATTGCACCTGGAACAGGACAAATCCAGAGTAGGGGTGTACATGTAAGGGCCTAGCCAAAATGATCAAAAAGCATTCTATAAAGTATCTGTAAGAGAAAATTATTAATGTAAATTTGTACCCATAATTTTAGGAGTTACAACCGCAGAACAACATCCTATTAAAACAGAAATACAGGGCCTCCCAGGTGGCAGCGGATTGAGCACAGCGCTGTGTAGCTGTCCGCATTGTCCGCAGCACTGGTTTGATTCCTGCCTGGCCTGGGGAGATTCCCACATGGCGTGACAGACCTCTCCTGTCTCGCCTGCTGTTCCCCTCAGCAGCGTATTTCGATCATTGTGCCTTTTCTGTTCCCTGCTCTGTCTCTGGTGGATTCTCTCACCCTCCCACGCCTCTGGCCTGTACCCCAGTGCTTGTATAAATAAATAAATCTTTGAAAAAAAAAAAACCAACAGAGAAATACACTCAAATATGTATGAGCACAACAAAAACTCCAATATTTGTCTTAGATGATGTCTTCCTGTCGCTATTCCATTTCAATTCTGGTGAGGATACTAGCACTAATACTTACAAAAGTCATTCAGAAATAGCCAAATATCCAGGCTTTGTATATGCTTGAGAGTGAGGGATTCTAAAATATGGACAGAGGATTTCTAAGTTGTCCTTAAGAAAATATTTTACTAGCAAATAATTAGCTAAACCCCGAAGTTTTCCTTTTAAACAAGGGCTATTGTTCATCAAAAGTTCTTCGGGGGCCTGCCTGGTGGTGCAATGGGGTGCAAGGGGTTAAGGACAGCACTGTGAAGCCATTCGCAGCTGCTCTGTCTTCCAGCCAAGGAGCTACCCACATGGCACAGCAGAACTCCCATCTCGCCCTATGCTCTCTTCAGCAGTGTATTTCAGTCAGTCTGCCTCTTCTGTTCCCCACTCTGTCTCTGCTGAATCCTCGCTCTCTCTCTGTCTCTCTGTCTCTCTCTCTCTCTCATACCCACCCTGGCACCATTGGCCTGTACCCCAGTTCTTGTATGCATAAATATATCTTTTTTAAAAAAAGTTCTTCAATTGTTTTGTTGGCGGGACAGTAGGCAAATAGGGAGACAGCACGCCAGAAGGCCACTGACGCATTTTAATCAAGTCTAAACTAACAGTTACTTCCATTTAAGGATTGTTTAAACAAGAAAACAAAATATTCCTAGTTGATTAAGATAACCATTTTTCATTAGATGAAATGCCTAGGAACTTATTTTTTTTTGAGTGGAAAAATGAGGAAGGCATTCTATAAATAGCCAGAATAAGGTGGGGAGACATCTAATAAAATGAAGCAGATAATTTTTCTTCAATCTAACAAACCCACGAGATAAATGAAAAGAAAATGGCCTCCAGAAGAAAATAGTATGTGATCCTTTGAAAAAAATCCCAAGGTTAAATGACAGAATAAAAACTTTTTTTAAAAAGTGCTGAGACCGTAAGTTATTACTTTTAATGTGTATTCCTGTTTTCAGGCAAAAAATGTAACACAACTCCTCTACCCTTGCACCAGCCTATGGGCTCTCCAGGCTCCCCTAGAGCCCTCCATTACCATCAAGAAGGTCAAAAGTCCACAGTTCCTCTTACAGCACTGGCTTCATCAATAGTGCTAGGAAACTACAGCCTCCCTTCTCAGCAGACAAAGAAAGTACAGCAAGAAAGGCCGGTTCATTCCATTAATACACAGGCCCAATCCTCTTACAGCAGACAGATTCCTATCTCTGCCTCCCCACCACCCCCTCCTTCTCCTCCCTAGCACACTTGCTGTCAGAACTCTCCGGAACATCTGGGGAGAGTTGCTCCACCTTCACTGAGGCTGGTTTGGACTAGCAGACTACTGAGGTAGTAGATGGCTGTAGCTAAGTACTGAAGTGGTGAAGTGGCTTTCCTGCTCAGCAGCAGCAATTACAAACCAAGTGTTCACCCTCAACAGCACTAATTTTTTGCAGGGATCTCCCCAAAACATTCCATTCTTGAGTTTGACTGTTAATTGCCTTAGACATCAGGGAAAATAAATAGCTGATGTTTTCTAATTGACAGTCCTTTCCCACTTTGTGACTTTGTGTTTGTCCTGACAAAATTCTTCTGCCTAAACATCTGATATCTAATCCTGAGGCATGGCCTCTGCCAGGCAGGGCTAGAAGCACACACCTGTCTGCAGCACCGCACCCTTGAATGGAGGCTTACTTTGCACACCTAGGAACCCTTTTCTGAGCTTATTCCCGCACTAGAGAGGCACCTGGGAATCTGCAGAGAATCCACAGAGGTTTCTTTTTGGGCTTTGTTTACAGTCAAGCAGCAGTCAGCAGTTAACCATTTTGAGCTTTGGGGAGCCTGGAGGTCAACTGCAAGTACTTCCACAAAACACTAATGTTTTTTTAAAAACCTGCCAAATTTCTGGAGCAAAACTAGGACACAAAATGGTCACTCACCGATTTGAGTAGGTGGGGGGTTGAATTGGCACATAACTGTAAATTAAGGATCTGTTGTTTCTATAAACCTTGTATCTTTAGATTCTTCTTTCCCATCCCACATTTCTGCATTATTAAAGGATTCCCCCACAATAATACTGTCCACTATGATACTGTCCACTATGAAACTGTGACTTCAGTTTCTACTCTCACAGGCATCAGCATCACATCATTTAGTACTGTTTTAATAGGAGGAAGCTAATACCATCTGAGTGGTTCCAGACAAGACCTGACCCCATACAATCTCAACCTTAATCATGTTTGGGGAAAACAAGAAAATTAAGCTTTGTGCTAAAGCCAAAAATCAGAAAAGACTTAAATTGCTGATTAAAAACTGTTATTTATCATCTAAAATTAGATAGGTAATGGCTGCAAAATTTAATATACTAAAGGTCACTGAATTGTACATATATATTTTTTAAAGATTTATTTTTATTTATTTATACAAGCAGTGGGTACAGTCAGAAGTGCGGGAGGGTGAGAGAATTCACCAGAGCCAGAGCGGGAAGCAGAGCAGGCAGAAGACCGAAGTACACTGCTGAGGGGAGCAGCGGGCCACAGGAGAGAGGTCTGCGCGCCATGTGGGACCCTCCTCTGGTGGCCGGGGATCGGTGGCCAGGGAGCAACCGGGGATCGAACCGGCGCTGCAGATGCCACGGGCAGCTTCGCAACCCAGCGCTCAACCGCTGCGCCACTCGGGAGGCCCTGAATTGTATATTTTAAGAGTGAATTTTATGATGTGAATTACATCTCAATAAGCTTGCCTTGAACAAAAAATGTAGAGCAGGCTAGAAATTCTCTTTACTCACCTTTGTGTAGCTTCAGCATCTAGAACAGTGCCAATCAGTAGTGTGTTGACTAAGCTTTTAAACAGCTGCCATTTGTATAGCTAGTCATTTTATAAAGCACTTTCACAGACATTATTTCTTTGTCTACTGTCAGCCAAACAGCTACAAATTTTTAAACACTGTAATGGTTAACGACAAATCAACCATGCTAAAATTACTGTTCTGTCCAATTTAATTCAATCACCCTAAGTTAAAAAGATTAAATAGCTAAGTCAGCAAAAGTCACCAGAAAAAAATAATATAATCATAATAAAATCAGACAACAAAAAGTGAATTTTTAAAATGCAATAATTAACCCTAAACATGTTTTGATCCATTGGTTGGGGTTTCTTCTACAGTCTTACAACCTAAATTTCATATAAATCTAATATTCACTTATTACAGCATGGGAAATGCAACTGTGGTGTTCAAAGAAGGTAGCCCATTGTCTACGAAGGATACAGAAAGAGCCTATTCTGGGCCTCCCTGGTGGCGCAAGGGGTTAAGCAATCTGCAGCCTCTGCACCATGAGTTCGATCCCCAGCTGGCCAGGGAGCAACCCACATGGCACGGCAGACCTCTCCTGTCTCGCCTTCTGCTCCCCTCAGCAGGGTATTTCTGTCAGTCTGCCTGTTCTGTTCCCCATCTCTGGTGAATCCTCTCACCCCCATCTCTGACC